CGCCACGGTGGTCTAGCGGTCAGAACGCTGGCCTTGTAATCTTGGGGTCCCGGGTTCAATTCCCGGCGGTGACCGAATTTTTAACTTGTGTTGGGCAAGGCCGTGGTCTAGGCAACACGGGGTTTTCCTCCGTGGCGTCCCAACAATTACTCCATTCACACAGAGAAGAAGGCAATGGCAAACCACTTTTGGATCATCTGCCAAGAACGTATATGAACAGGTCCCAGTCCGAGAAAAGGATGGAAGGATCCTGTTCATATGGACCTGTCGTCAGACAGAACACTAAATAAATAAATAAAATGAAATTAGCAGTTTATTTAATAAAGTAATGGTTGTCCCTCCATATTTATTTGAATATCAAGCATCTGTCAGCAAACAAAAAAATTACTAATAGAATTTAGGCAACGAAAACTAAGAGTAGCGAAGATCTAACGAATTATACGTAACTGAAAATTCGAACACAGAAAAGTTAAATATTAATTCAGTAAAGGGAGAATCGTTCGTGAATGTATACACAGTTTCAATGGGGCGGAAACTGCAGAAAAAAGATTTCGTTCTTTGGCTCGCACAAGCAGAACAAATGTTTTTACTCGGTTGGTCTCTTACCACGTGACCGTAGGCAGAGGCAAAATTTGTAAAATGTCGGTCCGCTAACACCTCTAGCCTGAAGTAAGGAATAACTTCATTACCAACAACGCCGTAGCAATTAAAATAACTTTTGAATATTTCCTTCCTCTCTAATTATCAGGTCCCAGAAGAGCTCTGCTTCGGTCGCCGCACACAAATAAAACTTGCTTTATTAATTAACATTTTATGAAACTTCTCAAGGGAAAGTTACATAACGTGAAATTGTTTGCGTATTCGGGTACTCTAGTGCTGCTCTCTCCAGCCAGCCATGGGAGTTACGTTCCTAAAATAACGCAGCTGATGGTAAGAAAATTCCTCTTGATGATCTGAGGGTTTCAAAGACTGCAAGGGCTGGTGATACCATTGGCAGAGCTGTTATCAAAATTCTGAGGCAGGTGTGAACATTTTCTATAGTGTTTTTGTGTGTGCGTGTGTTTTTTTGACGTAAATACGTCTATATTTTAGGGTCAGTGTCATTCGGCAAAAATGTGTTACGAAAAAGGGAAACGAAAAAGTGTAACTTCATTGTTATATTTTAATATTTTCCGTCAAATCACAATATTAATAAGATAATAAAATATAAAATATTTTAAATTATATTTATCTACCACAGACCCATCTTAAGCGTAACTAATTCAAGTTAAATAAGCAAAGTCTTAATCAAACTTTACTCAAATGTAAAGCATGTATAAAGGAAATATTTAGAATAAAGCCAATATATAAACTTCCTTTCCGTATAGACGTATTTACGTCAGATTCTCCGGAACCATAGTTTCACTGACAACTTTTTTCTGGTGAAATTTTCAGTCGCGTTCAGTTTTCTTACGAAAGTCGGAAAAAGGACGAGCTACTAAGTCAGCTCATACAAAGAATTCCCCAGCCACCATAACAAAGCGGTTCACCCAACCGACAAGTATCAAATGTTGACAGAGAAAGCAAACAAAATGTAAAGTATTTATGGCACACTTGGTATAACGTTATGAAGTAAATCGAGTCGCTCCGTAGTTGTAATTATACTTGTCAATGCCTGACCATAACACAGAAATAATAATTAAAAACGTTTTTATGTGTATGTACTCCACCTGAAGCAATGTCATATCAGAAAAGCCGGAGGCTTAATTAGACGGGCATTGTGTGTCTCTCCCTTTACGAATTTAATTAGTAGCTACGGTGACGAAAAGGGGACGTGATATTAGGGTGGAAGCGGAGTGAGATGGTCACCGACCTTCCCGCGGTCAGTTAATTTTATTACACGTGAGTCCTGTTCATGAGAACACTGCTTTCAAAATCCAGACCATTATCTGTTCTGAAATCCTATTTCATTAGTATTTAAGAAAGGAAATCACAAGTAAGGATAATATTAAAGTGGATCTTAAGGAATAACATCGTAAGAATATGGATTGGATTACATCGGCTTTGGACTGGGTGGTGTTAACACGATAATAAACATATTTGTTTAAATCTTGTCAGTCTAATCACAATAAAATTCCTATTAAATATTAAAATATTACCATAATTAACATTTAAATATTTAAAATATATTAAATGATATTCTCTATCGAAATGTTAGACTTACATTAGAACATCACTTTTTACACGACATGTTTCAGTTTTAAAAGAACCCATCTTCAGGTGTATAAAATTATATAAACTTAAATATATTTTCTTAAATGCAACTTTAATTGCAATTTTATTGTGATTAGACTGACAATATTTAAACAAATATATATTTATCACAATATGACGCAACTTTATCATCTCACGATAATAAACGTTTTGGTCTCATAATAGACGAGGATTTTCGTGACTAGCTAAGCTACTGTAAGATTTTTAAGAAGAACTGTTTCCTAGGAACATTCCGACTCCATCTTCAAGGCTTCTTACTACCCAGAAGAGAAACGCAGACTTTTCACGAATCAAAACCCCAAGTAAATAATTTATTGACGTAGTAAAGTTGAAACCCACAGAAAGGTTGTTCCTGTGACAAGTTACCGTGTTTTAGGCGCGGGTCATGGCGTCCTATCGGACACATGCGCCCATCCAGTCCTCTTCTGGACTCAGTCCGTGACCAGTTTGAGGACTACGATCAGTTGGCGAAGGACTTCACGCGGATGTTCCTGAACAACGACGAGAACACCATCGCCAACGCGAGCCTCTTCGACGTCGTGTTCTTGGTTGGACAGAGCAAGCAGAAGACGAAGTTCATCGGAGTCAGGGCCATCCTGGGGGTCCGAAGTCGGTGAGTCACGCTCAGCAAACGCTTCGCTTTTTATTTTTATTCGTTGGATTTATTCTGACGTCATTAAAGTTGGCAAATAATTTGTAGATATTTGCGTTTTTTTGTTTTTAAGATTAAAGGTTTGTGGCAACCCTGCGTCGAGAAAGTCTATCGACGCCATTTTTCCAACAGAATGTGCTCACTTCGTGTCTCTGTGTCACATTTTGGTAGACATAATGTTATTGCACACATAATAGACTACAGTATGGTGTAAACATAACTTTTATATCCACTGGGAAACCAAAAACTTCGTGTGACTCGCTTTATTGCGGCGGTCTGGAACCGAACCCGCAATATCTCCGAGGTATTCCTGTATTCTGAGTTGTAACTCTGACGCCGTAGGCAGTTTCAATAACTCAGGAAAGAGATTGAATGTTGGGTTTTGATCACTCACTTAAATGTTGTTCTAAAATATTGTTTTTAGTCGTAATTGGTCCTGCAGGTATACAATATCGCGTGTTTTCATTTGCTTAAATCCCGAGTCAAAAACATTTTTAGACGAGCATCAAAGAGATGCCCATTATACATTTCATAAGTTTTGAGCGATGAACCCCCAATAGTCGAAGTTTACTTAATTGCGAATTTTATACTCTCTGTAGTGGAAATAAGACGGAGGTCGCGTAATTCGTAGCAGATGTGCACATCGCCGACCTTACCACGCCTCTGCTATGTTTCAACTGAAATCAAGCTTCATTCTGAACTGTGTCGCCACTACCAACGACCGATTAGCCCCCCTATCAACGCTGGGGTTTAGTGTGGTGAGGATGGCGATTAGTTTCGCTACAATCGATACTTATCGATAAAGTGTTAGGGTCCAATTTGTGTGGATAAGATCGCAGTAGAACGTGACTTCAATTACCGACAGGATGAATTCGTCCCTAGTGAAGCTGTTATACGGAAATGTTAACAATTCGGTCACGTGGGTTTGCTCAATTTCCCCATCGGATTTATGCAGCGTGATTTCAACAAGTTACTGTTACTCAAAAACCATGCACGGCTATAATATTGGTATTTTTGTGGCTGGATATTTTTATGTGTGGAGGTCGAATAATATTTGATGAAATAATATTTATATTAAATTTCATGAAAATCCACCACCAAGTTGTTTAGAGGTTTTTAACGGGAAACACGCTGGGACGGACGTGACAATACCATAAAATTATCTGTCCTTATAAAATAATTGTAAGCCACGAAAGAATAGTTTCTTGAAGACGCCAAGAAGGTCCCTGGAAGTCCGTCATTTTGCATGTAGAACTGCCACTCCGTTGTCGAGATCATACTTTCATAGAGAGTTGAAATCTCTGCTCCGCGATAACGCCGTGATCGTGCTGCAACTTCTCAGACTTGAGAGGTGGGCGTGTTGTCTAAACCGAGTGTTGTAGGCGTTGTTGATGTCTAGACGATATTCAATCAAGACATTTATTCGAAAACAAAATACGTTAAGGGTAACTTCATTGTGTTACATATAAGCTAGACGCTGTTAGTTATGTAATATAATGTATATAATGACAAAACATCAGTTCCAAACGTTATTCAGGACTGGGTGGGACCTGTTTAATACATGTAATGTGAGCCGGGATAAACATGGCCTCTATCAAGCTGATATGATGTCTTGGTTTCTGCCTGGACATACTGAATAGAACCTAATTAAAATATCCGGTAATTGGTAGATATTTGACCCACGAGACACTAAAACATAGGGATGCGTTACAACTCCATCTGATCTACGCTCACTTATTCATCATTAACGTTCAGTCTGCAATGAGGATAATCGGCACCCGTGCTGAAGGCATGTCATTATCGTCGTGCGCGATTACGTCTTGTGTTACAAACGGCACAGTCGCCAAATGGCCTAGGGTCGATTCACAACTGGTCCATGTTCCGTGTCGCGTGTGAAACGTGTTTGCTGGGGCGGGTCTTTTTAATAGTTTGTGTAAAAACTGTTTTGGAAACACATTCTTTTATTTTTCCAAATGCAAATTCTTAAATAAATTATATTTAAATTTGTCTATATTTTTCACACTTTATACTTATTTTTCGTGAGTATATTCTGGAACTTTTTTTTCACTTTTCTTGTCCGTTGTACCTGCTGATTGCGCTAAAATTACTCTAAAATTACTAGGATGGTTGAATGAGAAAAATAAGATGGGACAGGCTTCTAGCAAGCGTGGAGTAGATAAATGTACAAATTTTAGTTCGGAAAATGTGGATACATTAGGGCTTGGGAGATCTAGCGGTATATGGAAGGACAAAATTAAAATTTATGTTAATGAATTACAGTGTAAAGATGCACACTAGATTCATCTGATATGGGATAAGTCCCAGTTGCGTGCTCTCGTGAATCTCATCACTCACTGAAGCAGTACTAACTTCTCCTATCTGCTATCTGGAGCTAATTGTAATATTGCTAATAAATCAACTTCACGCAACCCTCTGAAGCCCGAAGTTCATTTAATAATATTTAAAAGTTCAGTTCTTACCTCAAAGAAAACACAGCACATATCAGTTACAAAAATTAATTGGTTGATGCTGTTAAGGAAATAGTCACTGTTTATTCTAAGAACCATATAAAACCCGTATATACCATCTATGGGGTGAATTCGAAAGTTACTGAATGTTAATCAGGTGGTACATATAGGTACCATTGTGTTTTAAAGTGTTATTTGCACATAAAATAAAATGACAGGCGGTTAGGCCTACTAGAGAGTTGGATATTAAGAACACGGAAAAAAGATAATTTCTGTATAGAGTGGTGTCTCAAAGTAACGCTGTATCAATTATCTCGCAAAGGCCACAGCGTCTGGAGTCCGTAGCAATGCCTGTGAGCTCGCTGCTTCCGAATGCATTCCACACGCTATCTGAAAGGTCATGTCCAGCTCCGACTAGAGGCCGAATAAATCTCATTATCGCGTGCTACAACACTGGCATGCGATATTTCATACACTTATCTGAGAGTCCGTATTTTATTGTGATTTTATTGGGCTATAAAACACAAATATCTAGAAGTTTGGGAGTCATTAGACTGGTTTCTGAAAGTGAGGATGTGGATGTCCGCGTTCCTCGGAACTTAGCGGCTCTGAGAACGGATTTTCTTTAAGTTTTAATATGAATCTGTTAAGAAATTTTTACCTCAGAGGTGACAGATCGGATCGGTATTCGGTTCTAACATCTGCTATCCTGAATTAGGTATTCAGTGCACTTCGTGTTATCAGCATAAGAGAAAACATTCATTCCCAATCCCTTCCAACTCTTCATTTATGACGATGCTATCATCTCACTGTATAAATCATAATTTGAAAGTTGTAGTGCCTTTCAATGTGAACCATGAGACTGTTAACCCCTTCATATTATTTGGTCTCACGGCGAATATATGGGAAGGGAAAAGAATGAAATAAAGAATGGATGGAATAGTAAAAGAAAATTAAAAAGAACGAGATAACTAAGTGATCGTGTCATTATAAGTGGTTCGCAGGAACATGCTGTATCGAACTAAGTTATCGTGTCATGTAGGTCATTGTAAGTGGTTCGCAGGAACATGCTGTATCTATTTTTATGGTAGACTCCTACCTTCACGTTTGGGGATAGCAAGTCCCTGCGAAACGTCGTTGCCAACTCGCACTATTCCACGTTGTCGCAGCTCGATATATTACAGTCTCTGCTTTCATAGATGTGAGAATCTCAGGGTCTCGTGGGAGGACTTATTTTATGAGTTGCAGCTCTGCCGGAATTTCTAGGGGAAGTCAGTAGAAACGAATAATAGTTCGTGGCATCTCCTGGTTTTCAGTCGTAGCTTTACGAGTTCAAGAGACTCTCTTGGTTGGTTTATTTGACGGAGGTAATTTGGACTCACATCGCTCTATTATGTGACTTGAGGTACGCCATGTTGCTGTTGCCAAGGTCGTCGCCGTCTACAGCTCGCTCTGTATCTGTGTCACGAGGTATCATTAAAGAAACAAGTTACAAAGGCGATATAATGGAGAAGATAGCTAAGTTGGCAACACTGAACGTGGGGAGAGTTCGCGTGCTTCGGGCTTAATAGATTGTGCGAATAACAAGAGCCTAAGGCACACGCAGAAGATTCACCGGAAGATATACCTACCTGTCGATGTTGGACGTCTGCGTTATAACGCTATGTGGACTTGCAGGTAGATACCGATCGAGGTTTCGAAGAACTTTCATCTTTGGGAATTTAAGGATTTTATTGTTAATTTACTCGTAAACGCGTTTCGGCATCTTTGATTATGTTTATTTCTACTTGTACAGTTCGACGCACAAGTCTTCTTCTCCTTCGTGATCTCCCCGAGCAGGTGTTAACAAGTTCCTTGTTGAGATATTTGCAAGGCAATGCAAAATCGAGTATACACGTTTTAATTTCAAATATGTCGTGACTTTTGCACTACAGTAATATTACTTTATATAACATTTCATACGTAAATATTATTCTGATGAAGAAACATGTGTAGTGTGTTATATATTGCTAATATGTCATGTTTTAATGCAAGATTTTTGCTGAAACAGAGCTATTGAGTGAATATATATTGAGGGTCAGGCTTACGTACGTAAAATCCGAAGGTGGTCTGAGACACCGAAAATCGTTTTCCTGAAAGTGAATCCTTAGTTCTGATAAAGAAGGGCTTACACCATCGTCAACTGTTTCAACTTAATCCCTTCTGCCTCATTGACAAATAAATATTAATAATAGTACTAAATGTTGATGAACGACACTGTGATCAACTCAGTAAGACCACAGAAAAATGTATCCATGTCCTCAAGCATCATTACTTTAAGGCGTATGGGGGAGGTAAGGTATAACTCCACGAATTTTTAACCTCGTCAGTAGATGAGGGATTGTGTTATAATTACTCCTGAACCAGAAAATGCTAGAGGAACGTGGATGTAGTGGCGTAGGTCCTTGTTGCGCTCTGCGCCTTAGCGTGCATGTCAAATGCTCGCCTCGGATAGACTCTGTGTGTAGCAACTTGGATAATACACTTCGTAATTCCTTCGTGCGTCTCGACTTTGGCTACATCCACCTTAAAAACAATTCACCCGGTGACTCACAAAATCAGGTCTCTATTCAGAATCTGTGAACTGAACATCGTCCAGGGCTTGCGCACTGACGTAATGCGTAAATCAGGTCCTCTTCGTTGCTAACTTTAGAACCTGGAAGTTGACTCAAATTTGTCAGTTACAGAAAGAAAATAGAGAAATTTTTAAATTGCGGTGTTTTATTTACATGTGTCTACAGATTAGGAACTGCAAAATTACAACGTATTCAAATAACCTTAGATTAATTATATTTCCAATGTACAGACATTCAACTATTAACATTTCTGCCTCTTATTCGACTGGTTGAGAGTTAAAATCTCTGCTCGAATACCCATTGATATCTTCCTTAGTCCCTCCAGGTAAATCAAGACTTCTCCCTTCCATGTCCTTTTGATTCATTATTCATTAGTTAGTGTATAATTGGACGCTACATAGTCTTGAGCTACTAAGAGCATTGTTAAATAATCAACAAGTAAGTACTTTCGTAAGTAAATAAGTTACAGGACAGAAACAAACATTGTCTGCACCGAATGGTAGCAACGAAGATGTATCTGCCATTTGACAGATTTTTCCCCGTCCTTACTAGTGAGTCTTTCTACAAGCATTCTGATGTCTACATCCGATCTCACAACCGAGTACCTCTGCTACATTGGAAATTGACGTTTACAACGTAACGCCTGCGGTTTAGATTTTCCGCACGACAGCAGTGTCGGAGAAGTTGCCGCAGAGGGACGGCGAACTGCGCACGCTGAGCTGTGACGTGTAGTAGGCCGACGTTACGAAACCCTGGGTCCATTGGGTTCTTACAGTGCTAATGGAACCCTTAACCCTTTCTAGTCTTACGCCCAACTTTATGGGGCATGAGCCGTGAAAAAAAAATACTTACAGACGAGCAAGGGTTAAAAATGATATTGACAAGTCATGGGCAGAATATATCGGTGTTCCTATAATTATTTATCTACATGAATAATATAAATTATGGAAATAAAGTTTGATTTTTTGTATATGTTTTATGACAAGAAACGTTATAGAAATTAAGAAGCAGTGAAAAATAATTTATTTTAAATGCATTTCATCACCGTTTTACAGAGAAGAGTGTTCTTAATACATTTTCCTTCGAAAAACAATTCGATGTACAGGTAACCAATTTAAAACTACTAATCAGTAGGTGAAAGAGATAAAATAACTCATTCAAAGAAGATGTTTAATTTACATTCAAGCATTTTAAATTGCATTTGGATTTGCTCGAAATGTAGTCTATTGTACAATCCAGTTGCCCTGATGATGGAGGCAGTAAGT